GTGTCAGTAGATGCGACATTGTTTCTCGGGCTTGATTTCGGAGTCAAGGTTAGAATTATAGTAGCATTATGTACATATCTATAGTAAAGGTATACTTGGCTCCGACGTTGTGTCAAAAAAAGAAGATTACAATGCAGTGACGCACATCCGTCTGCCCCTGGCGTACAGGATCAAACGGCTTTATTTAATTTTTTTTTTTTAATAATAATTTAGGAGACATTTTCAAAGTCTTGTAGCCAAAGGTTCAGTAGTACAGATGCTGACCGTTGATCAGGCTATACCTACAGAGTGCTGGGAGGGGTCATCCGCAATGACTGGCTCAGCTGAGCATTACCTTGGTTAACGGTTGGTATATAATCCAGACTGTTCATGGTGTTTATTGTTTGCTATTATTAGAATAATAAAAAAAAAAAAAAAAGGTGTTGCATTACAATGCTGTAACTGGTCACCCAAGACGAAATTACATAACCGTTACGCAAGTCGTGACTTTTCAAGGGCAGTGAAAAACACAAGTGATCCCAAATGTTGTTGTTTTATCATTGACAAGTTTTTCAAACAAGGCTTAGCTAACGGAACAACCAAACCAGGACTCCCCCCTTCCATCAGAATTGCAACTGCAGTTTTTTTTTTTTTTTGCAATTGCCAAAAAAACAAAAAAAAAAAAACAACTCACAAACTCCTGATGGACTCAGAAACTGCCGCATTAAGAACTATAGTTTTTTTTTTTTTGTTTGCCACGGTTGACCCACGGCCAGTAGTAAGGCAAGGACCATGACCAACCGCCGTCAACCAAGATTTTCAAAAAGAATTATTATTGCTATCTGTTACTGGTGATTGAAAACCTGCTGCTACTATTGTTCGTACCAAATGAAATAATAACAATAATAGTAATAATAATAGTAATAATAATAGTAATAGTAATAGTAATAGTAATAGTAATAATAATTAAAAAAACAATTCTCAACTGGTGGAACCCTTTTGCTCCCTTCTCCACAATAGTTTTTTTTCCTTTTTCTTTCTACATTCTCATATCTGACCAGCTTTTGACATTGTCCATTTTTTTTTTATTCCGATTCTGCTGTAGTTCATATTACATATAACCGGACTGACTAGTATAGCCCCAATATCATATTTCCCTCCCCTTAATCAATTGATTCATTCACCGTTTTCTGTCGTGTCTGGCTGGTTTTCTTTTTAGCTGGTTGATTTGGACTCTTTTTTTTTTCCCCTGGCAGAACAAGACCCTGCACACAAACATTCCCCCCCCTGGCTTTACAACCAAGTTACTGTCCTACTACACTTATTTTTTTTTATTCCCACTTTGAAAGCCTTGCGCAACTAAATTTAGTAATGAGTTGGCATGGACTGAAAAAAGCGGTTAACCGCGCCAGCACCTCTGTAAGTACTCTTGTCAATGATCCCCCCCACTTAATCTCGAGACTAACCCCATCCCCTCCCCTGGGGGGGATCCTTCTCTAGGTTATGATGAAAACCGGTCATGTTGAACGCACAATTGACCAGGACTTTGAGTTTGAGCACCGCCGGTTCATGACGCTGGAAAAGGCGTCCCGGAAGCTGCAGGTCGAGGCCAAGGGCTACCTGGACTCGCTGCGGGCCATGACCGCCGCGCAGACGCGCATTGCCGAGACCATTGACGCCTTCCACGACACCAGTGCTACCCCGAGCTCTGAGCCCACGGCGGTCAGCTTCTATCTCACGTCCGTGCAGGAGCTCGACTCCGAGACCGTCCGCGCCATTGATGGACCCTTCCGGGAGACCGTGCTGGAGCCCATTGTGCGCTTTGTGGGCTACTTTGACGACGTCAACGAGGCCATTAAAAAGCGCGAGCACAAGCTCAAGGACTACGACTCGCTGCGCCACAAGGTTCGCAAGCTTACGGATAAACCTTCCAACGACGTGACCAAGCTGCCGCGGGTCGAGCGCGAGCTGGATAGTGCCAAGGAGGTTTACGAGCAGCTGAACCACCAGCTGATCCAGGAGATCCCCCAGTTGCTTGACAAGCGTGTGCCCTACCTGGACCCGTCGTTCGAGGCGCTTGTCAAAATCCAGCTAAAGTTTTGTACTGAGTCGTATACCCGTCTGGCCCAGGTACAACAGTACCTTGATGCTGCCTCACGCGAGGAGTACGCCACTGGTCACCTGGACGACCGAGTAGAGCAGGTTTTGCAGGAAATGCACGAGCTGCAAATAGCTTCCCTTGGCTAGTCATAGCGCCTTTCCAAAACAGAAACGAGTTTAAATAACACCAAATGAAAATAATGATAGGGTTTTTTTAAATAACAAAAATTTTTTTTGACACATTGGTAATAAATAAATATGATTATAAGAAATGACGATACTCAGCCTTCACGTTGGCCGATATAAGACCTGAGTAACTAAAAAAAGATTGGTTAGCTTAAAGAAAAATAATAATAAAACGGTACCCAACTTACTAAACTTGTCTCTATATCGCGTCGTCGCCGCCACCGCAAGCATTTCGTGCTTGATTGAAGACGTAGCCAGATGGTTTAGTACAACATGGCTTGGCCGTGGAAGCACGCACTGATCTTCTTTGGAGGCCTTTGCACTCGCATTGATAAATGTCGACTCCAAATGGTCCGGGAGCAACGGCGGCGGATGGCTAGCCACCCTCTTTCTAATCTTGCGCGCAGTCTCTTCGGTCATTGTTGGCGAGACGCCAAGGGCGTAGATATCAGGGATATCGCTTGTGTATTCTAAACTGGCTTCATTGGGCTCGTACTTGGGAATATGCTGGGGTTTTAAAAGAAACTTTTTCCTTCGAATGTCATGTAGCAAGTGCCGTTTCTTGCCCTCTGATTTTGTGACGGGAAGGCTCACGCTCGACGCGTCCTTGTCAATGCAATAATTGAGCGGCTTAACGTCGCTGGCACCAAGGTCAGTGCACGAGAGGGTAGCTCGGATGTGACTCTGGCTGCTAACTCGGTTCGGGTGAAATGGAAACTTGTATAATGTGCGTTTTTGCTTCAATCCCACGGCTGATTGAGATTTGGACCCGCTCGAAAGAAAGTCACTACTGGGGAAATGTTTTGGCTTGAGATCGCTGTCAAAATCAGCTATCGATACATCAATAATGTCACCGTCTAGGTGTTTGTTGGAGAATAGTGCGTCGTCAAATGAATTGGGTCGATTGAGCTTTGGTGGGAGCAGTGAATCTTTGGACCCAGTGGTCAACACTGAGTTTGAGGAAATATGAGGTTCATCGAGAATTGTGTTTGTGCTGCTATTGTTGGAGGTGACGCTGTGCGAAGACGTTAGTGCTGGGAGAGACGAAACGTAGGTAACATCGGAGTCGTCTACATGCACCTCAAGCTCATCGATAAAAGTTTTTGCTACAGCGTCAGTAGGCTCATTGTTTGAGATAGTTGCATTGCTTTGCATTTGACGTGGTTGCGAGTAAAACTTGATTTTGTGAAATCCCTTGGCTAGGTGAAGAACGGCGGAAGGATAGTTACTAGAAAGCGAGGGTCAGCAAAAATAGTCAGGAAGAGAAGAACAAGAAGAAAGAAAAGGAAAAAAAAAGAGAATCTAAATATGTTCGTGAATGGAAACAGGAGAATGTAACAATAAGATTAAGAACCTTAACCTGAGATGGTCGGGTTTTAAAGTCAGAGAGAACAAGAGCAACAGAAACAGGAAAAAGCTCTGGGGGGTACTTTTGGGAATAGAAGGTTTGACTAAGGTGCTTGCTGTATACAGAGTCGTGTTTCAATGCGTAGTTGAGCAAACTCATTTTTTTTTTTTTTTTTTTTTTTTTTTTTTTCCGTAAACAGCATTTGCTCAATATTCATGTGACAAAATAGAAAGAAAGAAAACAAACCATAAAAACACTCACCTTGCAGTATTACCCTCTTCTTTATTTAATAAAATTAGACTGGTATCTTTCAATTCAGTACCGACAAGAATTTGGGTTTCTTTGTCGGGAAGAAACTTTCGAAAGTCAACGCCAACAGGTAGTAACTCCGGCTTGTCGTTAAATTGTAGAAAAAAATTATTATTGTCGTCGTTGTTGTCATTGTTTACATTGCATACATCAGGTGGTGGTAAGAGATAGACATGTCCAGGCAGAACTAAACAGGACCGTTGGTGAGCGTTACTGCTGCTAGAGTTACTACTGCTGAAGTTACTACTGGGCCTGATTGTGCTGACATATCTGTTGAAATTATCGTTGTTGCTTATTATACTGTTATCGTTCATGGTTGATTAGGCGTTTATACATATTCTGTTTTGTTACCAAAACCTTTGAACAAGAAGAGATTGTCTTTTCCAAAAGGAGATCGTGAAAAAACAAGAGGAAAGAAGGTGATTTATGATAAGAATATTTTGAAAATTTTATGAATTTAATGAGTAATTTATATAGTATAGTATGAATAGGAATAATAATAATATTAATATTAATTATAATAATATTAAATTAAAGGGGACCCATTTCTAGAATCCACAAACCTGACCATTACATGTGTTATGTCACGAACAACAACAGTGCACTTGTCGTGTAACGAATGGCTAACAGCTGTGGCCCTTGTCCTGTACGTGTAAAACAAAAAAAAAAAAAAAATGATTTTTGATCTTCCTCCAAATTTACTATACATGACAATTAAAACTACCTCTTTGTTAGTTTGTTGAATTGCCCGCCATTATCACTTTGGATAAGAACGTGGTGACTATCGTGAAAAAGAGCATACTTATAAATTACATTCTTTTTTTTGGTGAGGTTGATGTTGAGAGACCCATAATTATTTCCTATTAAGGGCAGAACTTGAAATGCCGCTATTCTAGAACGTTGACGAAAAGAGGGTTGGAAACATCAACAGGGGCTTGTTGACAACTCATGAAAAATAATGAGGGTTAGGTATAAGCATTAAGACTTGGGACCTGTGTTTTAAATTTTGCCTTGCGTTAAATTGATATTTTTCAGATTTAGTTTCAATATTTGTCAAAAAATTTAAAATTATAATTTTGGTTGTATAGTGTAGTGGTCATCACATCGGATTTTGATTTAATCAAAATTCCGGGAACCCCAGTTCGATCCCGGGTACGACCTTACTTTTTTGGATCCTTACCAACAAGGCCAAATGGCTTCCTTGTTATTTTATGATGATATCAGGATAACCTATTGTCAAGGCAGACCTCACCCCTAGGTAAATGCATCGTAAAAAATCATGCATCTCCATGGATTTAATCTAACCTAGAAGCGTCCTGAAGATACTGTCTACTTCGTACCTCTAAGCTGCACCAGATTTCACATGCGTTTTACAGTATAAACCTAAACCAATAGATAACACTCCTCAAATGAAGTATCAAGGTTGTAGTGTATTGAGAAAAAAAAATATTTTTTTTCAGAGAAGAAATAAGACTTACGTCTATTCTATTCATGGAACTAGGAAGGCCCAACAAGGGTTATATAAACCCCTTCGATTTCTCTAGAAAACAAGAACCAATTGCTCCCGTTATTCAAACATAAAGCGTTGCTACAAAACTTCAGTCCTGGAACCCTAACCAATAATAATAACTTACACGACGCTCCACTTACGCAACCCGACACAATGGAAAACATATCGTCTTACGCTGTATTTCCTTATCTTCTCGAACCTGACAAATCCATGGGGTTCCCCTTCAGCACGGAGATCAACGAATTTTACTCCGAAATAGCGATGTATCCCCCTGGGAAATTCAACCCCAAACACAGGCCTGAAGACAATTGGCCAGCGTTTATTAAAGAAGTCTAGGAACATTTACAGCCCTACAGCGCTGAAGGCATCTCCCCTGACCAGTACGCAGTGATGCTCAAGCCCCACTTCTCCCCTAGGGCCTGGGCATACATGTATGAGGAACACGTCTCTACCAAACCTGACCCGGCGAGCAGGGCCTTTGCTTGCCAAACAGTGCTTCAATTCTATACCATAAAGTGCTACAAATTCGAAGCTAGAGTACAAGATTATAACAATTTTATCTCGGGAAAGAACATGCTCGAGTACAGCCAATATATCCTGGCCTTTCAAGATAAATTCTTCAAACTTCTCGGCAAAAGCCTCCTTATGAACTACTACTTGAAACTCCTCCTGCTTACTATACACTGGTCTCCCGCTGAACGAACCCAATTCCTCAGCATTCGAAACTGTTTGAACAGCTTCCAAGCTCCGGAGTACAATAAAATCACCCCGGAAATACTCTCTGAAGCAGTTGACTACGGTATTCAGATATCTGAAGAACGTTTGCGTCATAAAAGAAAACTAACAAACGCTATCAGTGACTGCTCCCCTAACAAAAGGTTTAAAGTAGATCCGGGCAATACGAGACCCTCTCCCGTCGCTTCGCCCTCGGGAACACTACAGGTCACTTGTACTACCGACAAGTACACCAGGACCTTCACCAACTGGAAACGTTGGGTGAGATCTAAGCCGCTGAAAAAACTACTGAACAGTGCTTGGAAGCAAACTGGTGCCAACCGCAATTTCCAGCCATTCCAGCTTCCCACTATCAACAAAACACTCACCATCACAAGGCATGAGAGGGACTTTAGGTCACAACATAATCTATGCGTGCGCTGTGGAAACCATACCAACAACGATGGAAAGCAGTGCGAACTTCACCCGCTTTACGATGATGTCAAGATTGATAATAGGACTATACTTGGCTGGGACACTATGTCATCCCCCAAGATCATCAACTCTGGTGCCTTGGACACTATGTCATCCCCCAAGATTGCCAGCTCTGGTGCCTTGGACATTACGACATCCCCCAAGATCACCAGTTCTGGTGCCTTAGACACTACGACATCCCCCAATATCACCAGCTCTGGTGCCTTGAACACCTGTTATGTTGACCGCACAGCCTTCCCTTCGACAGAAAATGTCTTGGAGAAATATTTCCCTAAATGGAAGCGTGACTTAATGGAAAAGGCAAGCGCGCAAGCTCCGTCGAAACAAACTTCAACAGCGGAAATATTGAATTCAGACGGTTTTTTGTGCCCGGTGACTTTCTCCATTGGTACTCAAAGCCCCAACTCCTTTGTAACTAAGGCCTTCCTCAGAAGACATAACCTTGATAGTTTTGTGTTTCAGCCCCGGAAAAGTCTCGTTACTAGAGCTCGCCTTCACAATAAAGTTTCAGTATGTGACAGTGCTATATGGATCAGTCTATACTTTGAAGAAGGCTGCACTGACGTTATGGCTTATGTTTTTGACAAGAACGACTCTGAGGATCTGATGCTGGGAATGGACTGGATGACAAACTACAACGTCAGTTTAGCATGGAATGACAGAAATGGAATGGATGTTGTTATCGGTCGTACTGCGCAGGATGGCTACTAGTCTGGCGACGTCGAGATTGAAAACACGGTAGATACTGCCCCAGTGACTGTCTACAATTAGCTGTGATGAGTTTTGCAACACTTTACCTCAAAATTTACGTCAACACCAATGAAATTTACGGTAATTTTCACTACACCTCTTCAAAACGTTAAATCCACATGTTTTTAATGCTGAAATAAGCAGGGGCTCTCTAGCTATTGAGTATACTATTTTTTAATCTGTGGTACTTCTGTTCATTAGGAAACTTGATTTGAAGTTGTATATTTGATTTAGGGTATCGTGGAGTTGTTGGGGAAAAATGGACTGCCGCAAAACTCATTACAGCTAACTGCAGTTGTGTTCTCTTAGGCATCTCAGATGCCTTTCATTAACATCCAGTAAACTCAGACCATAACAAGTGGCACCCATTGGTTCCTGAAACAGTCCCGCCTATTGGCAACAATACACTGAGACGATACTTTAGGGCGTCATTGGCAATGTGGTGTCAGCATATATGGATGACATTGAGATACACAGGCAGGGTACTTTTAAAGGTCACAACTTTCTAGTAGATGCGGTCCATGCTGAAAAAACGACACCGAAGCCAGCATGTGATAGATATAAATTTTTTTAATGTCGTTTGTGTAAGTACGAGTTATGTAGTTTTTGTTTTGCGTAACATCAGTGTAACCTGGCTCCGGGTGAAATCTTATCGCTCTTTAGACATGATGAATTGTTTGCAGTTTCCGTATGTAAGCTTTTAAATTTGATCTAATCAGTAACTAACGATTTGCTACAACAAGGGGAGGGTTTTTTTAAATGCATTAAAATACTCGTTACAAAGGGTAAGCATTTGTCCATGAACAGGTATTATGCCAGCTCAGAGGTTCCAGCGTTGCAATCTTTGTAATTAAACAATCAAACAAATTGTTTTTTTTTTTTTTTTTTTTTTTTGAGGGAAAAAAAGAAACCAAAGTAAGATAAACTGATTTGTCGTTGTAAATTGTGATTTATCAACTGGAACTCTACCAAGTTGACGGTACTCTAAGTAAAACCTCCACAAGGTTTGTAAATTGCTTATAGTCTTGTTTGCAATGCTGATTATATTATCAACTTGTCTACAAAAAAGTAGTTAACTGCCAGGCACATATTGTTTCGTAATTAGTATTAAGAAAAAATTCTTCAATCTCTAACTATTTTTTTTTTCTCTTTTTTCCTAAACTTATTCCACGGGCGTGGTGATGCCTTTTGAGCTACCGTTTCAAATATAAACTATAGGAAGCTAATCTAACGTAGCCAAAGCCAGTCCAGGGGGAACTAAACTATTGAACAATGAATTAATAACACAAAAGAAAGAGACTTGCGGCTGAGTGCCCTGTATTACTATCACCAATTCTATATATAAGCTGTTCTTTTGTTTGAAAAAAAGAGAAACTAAAAAGAAGGGTTCAAGAACTTAAAAATGATATTAGAAATTAAAATTAAAGATTTAGAGTAAATAGACATTGGTATAAAAGTGTTCAAAAAAAAGAAAACCAAGACTCTGTAGACTTTGATTTATTTTTTCTACATGAGCAGCACCGCGGCACCAGCTGCAACCGCAGCTCCAAACCCAGCAACAGTTTCAACGGCACCGTTGACCTGAGCCAAGGTGCGTAAAAGATTCACGGTGATTTTTGAAGTTGTAGCAAGCTCGTCACTTGCCGTTGCTGCCGATTCTGCTGTGCCATCACCCGGCAGCGGCGTAATCATCAAAACCTTGGCCGCAGCAGTTGGACCGGGAGTAGGGTTTCTGAAATCACCCCAAATGATTCGGAGATCGATAGGAGTGTTTCCATGGTCAGCGCCATGGCTAACCAAAACGTCCAGGGGCCCAGTCCCATTTGTGCGGGCAAGAAACCCTTTGCCCTTGGGGTAGCCAAGGTACCCATCCTTGTCAACGAAAACGTCTCCGGGGGGATTAGTACTCAGTGCCAGCAAATCATTGATGACCGTCAAGTACAAAATGCCATTTACCTTGACATGGCCGTTATCGTCAAACTGGCCAATCAGGGGAGTAAAAACCCCAAGCTCGACCCGATTGCCGTCACTGCTAATTCCAGCTGGAAGCAAGTGGACCTTTGAGCCAGGGTGGATTGAGATCAGGCCAAAGGGTATGTGGGGAGCAAAATCTCCGGAAACAATCATGCACAGATAAAGGACAATAGCAAGAAAAATGAATATGAGTTTCATTGGTTTTTTGAATTTATTTTAAAGAAGAAGAGCGAATACTTGTCAAACTACAAACGTGTAATGAAAAGTACTACAAACCTATATATATATATATATCTTGGGCTGTGGTCTGACAATAAAATTCATTGGAATGTATCACAAGTTAAATAAAATTATCCTTTTAGAAAAGAAATTAATATTATTGTTTCTTTCGTGGTGCCGGTTACTTTCAGTTTTTTTTTTTTTGCTTTGTTTTGTATCATTCATTTTTTTCAGAGAACTAACACCCTGATCTTTTTGTAATTTACTCTTAGGCTTTCCCCCCAGCTGGTGCAATCTTGACTAAAAATAAAATTGTTGCTGCGGGTATTTTTGGAATGGACTATGACCACCTTAGTGTTGAACAAAAAAAGCTTTACAAGTTTAGTTTTGAAATGACAAAATCTCTTTTATTTAAATTAGTAGAAGTAAGACTGAGCTTGATCCTAATCCAGGGTCCGTTTACTCATGCTTCAAAAAATTATCTAGATCAAGACTCGCA